GATTCATGACAACACTAGCTAAAGCCATTGCAATAGGCATTTCTCCCTTATCACCAATCATTGTAACAAGCTAAACTAACTGTTCATATCTATCTGCTAACACAGTTTCTGCAAGCATGTCAAATTCAGTTCCTTGCTGTAAAATTTTGGTCAGAACTTCCATGAAGATCCATTCTTTGAAGATCCTTATGGTACCCTAAGCCTAAAAATATAAATCAATTTAATAAAATTGAAAGTAAAACAATTATTTTTGATAAAACATTAATGAGCATTAGGTTCATTATCATAAAGAATTACTTAATTTTTAGATCAACATTGGGATTAATAACTTGTCTAAAACTATCCCTCTGGTCCACCATGAAAATTTATTGCCATACAAAGTATAATGTTTTGCAAAGCATTTGTGTAAAGATTTTCTTAGAACAAGATGGCATCATTTAAAAAAAAGAATAGAATTGGAAATGTTCAAAATTCAACAGGTTACATAGCGGAGAACATTATATGATATGCTTGAAATTCCTCAAAATTCAACTAAATATATAATTCAAAGTTAGGGATTACACACAGTTAAGGAGACATTAAGTAGCAATAATAAAGAGGTAAAAAGGAATCTGAACTCCTTTCCAAGTTGCTGATTTGGGAAGGTATCTAGTAAGTTTCTAAGCAATAGACTTTTATTTGGTTACACCTGTTTGAAAAATTAAGACAATTACTTATGCCATACAATGTTGTACATGATTGATGTTTTACATCAACATATTTTATTTCACTTCAGTTTAACTTAAGAGTCAAATTTTTGTGTTAAACAGATTTCATTTATTTCCTAATTTGATAAACTAAAAGATCTGTAAAAAAAATCTAAACCATTCTAAAATACAGAGTACACTTTAATAATTTATAACTCTAATTTGTATTTTAATTTGCAGTTTTAAAGAATTTATTGTTTATTTTTAACAGCCTCTCTGGGATACCACTTTAAGAAAGGATAACTGAGATGTGAGCTCCTGGAAGTGAAGGAAAGAACAGGCTGTGGCAAATAAACTACCTACTATCTTTTTTTTCTTTACTCTCTCCTATTTTGATGAAAAAGAAGTTGACCTGGTGTATGTACAAAAATAGAGCAAGTTTTTAAATGAGAGCACAAAGAGTATATTTAAATCAAAATTCAACCATGAGCTTAAGAAGACGCTATACCGCGAGGCTCCATGAAAGATTTGAATGCTCTAGCCAGTTAGCTCTGCCAATATCAAACAAATCTTTTGACAAGAATTAATCTTTATGTATATTGGGGAAATCATTTAATATTTGCACTAAACATAAAAAAAAAAGTTTTATAATTTATTAAAAAACCCAATTTATAATTAGTTTCAAAAGTAAAATTTTAAATAACAGGAGGACATTTTCATAGCATAAGCAGAAAAGTTTTTTTTTTTTTTTTTTAAATTATTTGTTAATTTTTAAAAAGTTTGCCCTCCTTTGTAAGGGTTATTTACTGGGTAACTAGCATTTAATGAGCATAACTCTCCGATGTTAAGCACTTTTGCTCTTACTAGAATACTACTTTAGGCTTCAGTAGCTACAGGGAAATTTATTATGAAATGGATGAGCTCTACTTTGATTGTTTACGAGGCCTTTATTAGAAGTAAAGAAACAATGCTGCTTTCTCACTTGATAAAAGTTTAATTGATTAAAAGTACATTACAAATAACTTATTAGTACATGTCTTATTTTACGACATAGTTGCCACCATTCTCAAAGCATTTGTTAAGTCTGGGTACAATTTTTTGTATTCCACAATCATAGAACTTTGCTGCCTGTTGTTGGAACTAATAACTTTTGCTGCATGTTGTTGGAACCATGAATTCAACTTAAGTTATAATTTCATTATCGCTGTGAAAATTTTGCCCTGCGAAATATTTTTTTCCAGTAAAGAAATAATCGCTGGACTGGGAAGCTGGGTACAAGACACAGGATGTATGATGCACAGCGTCAGAATGAGTGTTGTCATGCAACAAGCAAACTTCTTATGTCATCAAGCCCCTGCGCTTGTTTTGAATAGTACGCCTTTTGCTTACATGAACTATTACCTATATATATATTAACTATAAACTTATTACCATACGTAACCTTTTGAATGATGAAAACTTATTATGGAATACACTTTACACCTGGCGGTATTCTAAACTGATGCAGACATTATAAAGACGTGCTGCTGAAACGAAGCTTAACATAAAAATAACGAATAACCTCAAGGAAAAAGTGAAACCTTCAAGGTTATAGTCCGCATTGCCCATGGACTCACAGAGACTTCTCCTTTGGTGTTAAAGGTGAAGTATATTTACTTCCTAAAAACACCCCACAATTAACGAATTCACTGGGGTCTGAGTTAAAACTCAAAACTAAGATCAGTCACCCAAGCCACAACCATATCGCAAATGTAATTGTACTTTGTTTTGAAGGCCTGCTTAAAAACATTTGAACTAAAATTAATAAATCAAAACCATCTAAAATATGACACACAACGTTTGCTCCCTCCTTCAGTGGGCCGTGGTAAAATTATCAAATGTTGACCAGATCATGGTGATAAAAAGGTTGAGAAGCAATTTTATATACTAGTGAATTGGTATCGAATAATTGTAGTGGTAGCTACACTGCAATACTTCCCCACCAGAATTTTATTTGTCATAGAATTTGATGAATGGATATCACTGTATGATTCATCGCTGTTTTTATGAGAGGCCGGAAGCACTGAATTAAAATCACCAGATTTTGAGCGCTGATCTGTATTAAGATCACAGTTGTGTGAGTGATTGCTCCTCCGTTGCTATTAGCAGCCATAACCAACGAGAAATAAGGACGTCTTTTAGTAACGTCACAAACAGTATATATATATATATTTTTTAACAGTAACTGCCAATTTTAAACATTTGTCATTGCACAATGAACAACAGCTTCGTTTGTCCGTTGGTTGTAGTCGTACTATTCCTTATATCTATTATTATAATATAAATATTTAGCATGCTATATGCATGCACACTACCGAAATGTAAAGGCAATTACAAAAATTGCCTTAAAGTTAACAAATTCCTATGATACGATATTTGATTTATACGATACCCCATCTTAGACTTTTACAAAAACGTGACATTAATGTAGCAGCAGCTAATACAAAGAATATATTCTTTATATTCTATATATTCTTTGGCTAATAGCGGAGTAAGTGCTATTTATCTCTTATATTCGTTTCTGCAAACCTTATTAAAAAGACTTTCTTAACTACCTAATAAAAGAAATCGTATCTAAGTATTATAATTTTTTGGTTACTGTTTGCTTGTTAGCGAATATTATAAAATTGGTAAAACATTCATACTTTTCTAAAACTTTTGGTCGTGAAATAAATGAAATTTAAACATCATTTATTTTTCTTATTATTTTTTTTTTAATATTCATGAATTCGGATCAAATATCCTGGAAAATATATTTCAGATGTCATTAAAGTGCTGAAACTTTTATTATTTAAATAACCAGTAACATAAACAAAACAGTTCAGTTTTATTTTTAAAAGAAAGAAAAGATCACTGTTGATAGGCACTTGAGGCTTATTTTTTCTCAATTGATAGTACACTATTATATGATTTAAATTTCATAATTATTTTACTTGAATGCACAAAAATTACTGTGTATGCAATGATAATAATAAAAAATAGAAATTGAAGTCATTGTTAGTCGATTAAATTGTTTTGGGTAATAAATTAGTTTTAACGAAACTGTTGTTCATGCTTCAATTTACAAGATTCCTTCTTACACAGATAAATTGTTTTAGTGTATCTTTTTATGCAGCAGTAAATTTTTTTTAATGATTTTTAAAAATTAATTGATTAGATTTCATAATTTAATTAAGGTATCACATTAACCAAATACAGGCTAAAGTATTGAAAAATAATTTATTACTTATGTTAAACTTTCAAATAATTCCTAATACAATGAAAAAAAAAACATTTTTCATCTGCTCTATCTGCATTAGTTATAAAGTTTTGAGTATTTTTTGGGAAAAATAGCAGTGTTTTTTTCAGCAAACACGAATGTTTTTTACATGCATGTTTTTTGAAGTTCACATGTTATTTGAATCACTAGGGATTTTTTTTTCTGTTTGAAGATGGAACTTTATTGAAATTGTTTTCATGATCGGCAATTGTGCTTGAATAAGCGCTTTGAAAATTATTAAAATTTTTACAGCACGTTATTTATACTTGTGCATTCGATATTTTTTAAATTTTTCTTCTTTTCAATTTTACATAAAGGAAACCATAGAAATTGTTATAATTGATATATAAGCAAATGAATGAGCAGATTTATACAGCAAGAATGCTCATTTTTTTGCGAAAAATATTGTATAAACTAACAGTTTTAAAAATTTTTGATACTTTAAGTTTCTAAAAATATGAGTCATTATTAAATTTATAAAAATTAATTTGTATTAAAGTGTAGCTTTTTAGTAAGCTAAAAAGATGATTATTTTAATTTTATTTTTAAAAAAAATTACTGTTCTGATAATACTTTGACCCCATAATCATTGAGGAGATAAAATTAAAATTGCATTTTTTCAGATTTGGATGAGTTCTGGAAATTTGTTCGTAATTATTTTTTGTTACAATATCATTTTCTACTGTTCGTTACAATATCATTACATACAAATAATATTGTTTCTTTACAACATCAAATATTCCTACATGTATTTTATTGAGTTATAACGAAATACATAATATTAAAAAACTGAAAATTCATCACTTAAAAATATTTAAATTAGCTAAAGAAAAAATATTTTACTTCGCTCATATAAGATTTGCACTATTTATTAAAGTTTTCTCTTGCTGCAAATCTATACTCAGAGCACTTCCAAAGATGACGTCACAAAGTTACTGAGAGGGGAAAATTCAAACTGAGGCTTTTCGACGAAGATTAGTTAAAATCTGTTTCGACTATTTCTTTTTAGTTGGTAGGCTAGTTGGTAATTTAGTTTTGTTTAGATGTTATGAAACTTTTGATGGATTTAAAATTCCCTAAATTTGATTAAATTTTAAGATAAGACTTGTTGTTTGTAAGTAAAACTTTGCTACATAAGTCATTATCATAATTATTTTGGTAGGGTTTATCGCAATAACTATCTGTAATGGATTTTTGGTTCATATTTAAAGGCAAATTTCAGATTGCAAAAACAATTTTTTCGGTAGTGTGTCGTCTATTGCAATAACTTTTCTTTCCTTCCAGACGCGGATACGTACCCAGGGCTAAAGAGAATAGATGGGCTGGTTCACTCCTTTGAAGTATCTCTCGCCGCGCCGATTCTCCGACGTCACTCTAGTGACGTCACTTTGGCGCAAAGCTCGCACTTTTACTTCAAGAACGGAGCGTTTGGCCTTACTAGCTCTAACTAATATTGGATCATTTCTTTTTGCGAGATATTCTAAGACATTTGTTATTTTCTATAATGACTTTCCTCAGTTTTTGCAGTGAATTTACAAGAATTTAAAACTATTATCGAAATGCCAGTTTGCGCGATTGCAACTTGCAAAAATTCTGATNTAATAAAAAAAAATTTTTTTTTCCTCCATTAAAATTTAGATTTCTAGGTATTAAATAATAAAAGAAAGTAATTAAAATGTTATAATAATAAATAAAAAATTGAATAGAAAAGATGTGTACAGTATTTACAACATGTAGGTAAGCATTCCAAAATATATAATAATATTTTTTTTTAATATTTAAAATTTCAGAATATTATCATTATCAGAAAGAAAATTCATTACTAATAATAATTTGGTTTTAAGTGTATTGTTAGTTATGAAATGT